ACCAGGGCTCCCAATAGTCCAAACAGTCCGTCTGAGAGCCTCAGACTGGTCGTTTAGTCCGTCTAGCTTGAACAGACCAAACTGACAGTCCGTGCAACTTGTCCAGACTAAACTATCAGTCTGCTATATAAAGTCCAAGCTGTGAGGGTTTCACGTCAAGGGGGGCTTAGGCAAAGGATTCAAGTAAATTGTATCGTTAGGCTAAGTCTACACTAGATTCGGTATACAAGACGTAGCGCAAGGAAGCAAGAGAAACGTTAAAAGAGCAGCTTCCTTGTAATCAGAATAAGAAAGGAGTATCACGTGCGTGCGCACGTGACACCCTCGACAAGAATCAACGTTGGTTCGTGACACTACCCCCCCTCTCAAATCCCTAGGAGCTCCTGCGACGCTATAACTCGCTTGGTGACGGCCTATCTGGGTTCTGGTCGTGAAATGTATAGAGCAGGGCTTCGCTTCCAGGTATCAGATCTCGTTGAGGTCGCCACGAAGGAGGGTATCCTTTCTATTTGACAAAGTACTCGAGCCTTATCTTTCCATATCTGTTTTTCGTTATCCGAGAATTCAGTATTTTCTCCACCATCCATTCTCGACTGTTGTTATCTTGTTCCATCTTGACATGCGTTCGCATCGGTTGGTCTTGGCCGGGGAACGGGTCAGTACTTGCTGAACGTAGCAGATTTGTGTGGGCAATTGATAGGGGTGCCACCTTGAATTAATACGGACGCCAATACCTTAGGGACGCCACACAAATAGCGCCTCTTATTAGTCTAAGCCTATATTTATTAGTGTATTACATACCAGAATTCTGCTATATTCTAAGAATTATATAACCTCTATTTAATAAATATTTTACTTCTTATTTTATATAAATTAAAGATTTACTTAAGAATTATCCTTCCTCCTTATAAATAATCATTTTATCTAGCTTATACTTAACCTTTTTCTTGTTATTATATTATTACAAATATCCTCATAAAATATAAATGCCGCCAATATAAGCCGTCAGAGAGGTGTAATTAGCCTGACCGGTCGCCCATGTCAGACACGAGTCACACGATTGCACCCTTTATCCAGCGTCTCGCCCAGTTGTTCAATAGGCGAGATCGAAGCAAGTCAATATAATACGGGCGGTATAGGTAGTGTGCTTTTATTGTGACTAGACCGCTATTTCCCCTTTTGTCCTGCACTTTATAATTCTATTACTAAGAATATTCTATATATTTAATAGAGGAAATTAGATATATACCTTCAGAATAATTATTATATATTAGTATACTAACCTAGCTAGTAACTATAATATATTAAGACACTTATACTAGAGTAAGCTAAGTTTATATATACTAATTAATAGAGTTTTAATAAGTAAGTATTATATATTATAATTAAAGAGATAGTCTTTCCGACTTGCTACTACGCAAGAAGTAACTAATATTTTAAGTTTATACTGGCCTTAGCTTATAAAAGCTAGCTTAATAATACTTATAAAAAGCATAAATAGCAAGTATAAGTAAGTTTTCCGCGTCTAACTATAAGCTTAAAATAAGCCTCTAGGACTCCAGGTATACCTACCCAGACCGAGCCACAACGTGAACAGCACAACTTATCCGATGTAAGCTCCAGGTCTAATCCTGGCAAGTTAATTCTTAACCCACCGATTCCCGGAGATCCGGCTCCGTCAGTTGACGCTCTCTTCGCCTGGGTAAACAGCTTTGCGAAGAGTTATAGCTTTAGTGTTATTAAGGCTTATAGTATAGTTTGACCTGGACGATAGAGTCGATATATCTTCTAATACGATCGATATAGTACGCTATAGCCGGGAAGAGGTACAGGCTTTTAGAAATAAAAATCCCGAAAATCCAGGTGTTTATAAAAGATTATTACGGAGGCTTTACTTAAAAATAACTTCTAGTAGACTCTAAGGCACTTCCTAAAAGTAGAATATTACTAACATAACTATAAACCTAGTTTTAATACTGCTGCCTACCCTGCTTACCGGCGCTTAACTAGTCCCGTGAAGGCGACAGTTCGGTCTACTAGTCGACAGATTAGCATTTGTGCACAAGATATTGGTGGAATTATCCGAGATTACTTCTTGGATTCAGTTTATACGGCAAGAAATATTTATAATGTAAGAGCCTAGATAAACAGAGAGAACTTAGGCAGCTATAATTTCACGGCCGTATTAATCAAGTTATTCGATAAGAAGGGGATCCCTTATATCGCGGAGTAAGCTAGCAATAAGCCGAGCTGTCTAGTGGGGTTAGTATAGATATTTTCTTACTACCTCTGGATGTGGAAGCGATTCTCCGAGGTTATTAGTTTTAATAATATATACAATATAAACTGCTTTAAGTTGCCACTTTTTTAAGTTACAAGATAAACTTGCTTAGGAACTGTGTTTAACGCTGTATTTAAGCTAATTAATAATAAGAGACTTAAGGGTTTTTAGTTCCTTGTAAAGGGTATTAGCACGCTCCTTAACCGAAACGGAATACAAGTGCCTGATATTATTATTACCGACTTTGACAATCAAATAAAGAAGGCCCTTAGGATTGAGTTTCTGGTTGCTCAGTAGCAGCTATATATCTATCACATTAACTCTAACGTGATGCTATAGTCCAAACGGAGGTGGGTGTATTCTATAAGGGATAGTAGCACCGGGGAAGAAAGCAATTCGGACGAGCCCGATACTACCTTGAACTAACACGATCGGCAAGCAGTACATGCATCTGCAAGGCAAGAGGAGTCAGTCACACGAGACAAGTTGCATCAGTCTGTGCCCCACGACTACAACGGAGTACTTATGCTGTAGAAGCTAGTGGTTTTTGCTGAGACAGAAAAGAACTATAAGAAGGCTTAGGAATACCTTTATCGGCAATTCAGTGACCAGAGAGCAATCCTCACGTATCTATATAGTACATATATACTAGTAAGAGCGTAATAGGCTCGATGCTTTATTTGGAAGTACTGTAATTTCGGTATCCGAGTAACCTCTAGCATAGAGACCAGCAACAACAACGTAAAGAGCTATCTTTTGAACGGAATAAGCTATTTATACCGGCTTATTAAGGTAATTTAAGGTATACTAGAAGACTAGGAGAGGGAGTTCCGCTAGGCTTGTGCCTAGAATAAGGTGTTAACGGCGCGAGAGCACGTTAAGTATAGCTCGGAATATCTCAGCGAGCTTCTTTACATAGTATTTAAGAAGGCACTTACTTTAATCACCAGGGAGCATTAAAAGGCACTAAAAGGTATCTTAAGCTTATCTAAGTTATAGCTTAATAATATTAGAACCTATAATAACAAGTATAATATGTCTTTTAAGCTTAGTGTCCCTTACTACTACATAATTTATATAAAGCTCACGGCCGTAACGCCTCTAATAAAGTGGGATATCTACTCGTAATAGTACTTACAAGAGCTAGTAAGCCGAGATGTATATCGCTAAATCTTAGACTTAAAAATTATTACTAGTCTTTATAAATAGCTTAAAAATAACCCTTAATAAGTACTAGCTTATATAGTAATAAGTATTAATAATTAAATATATAATTAATAGGCTTTAAATAATTAGACTATAAGTAGTTAATTAAAGCACTAGGACTAACTAACTAGAAGCTAAAATAAGATAATTTTAGCTTATATTATATATAAAGCTACCTAGATATTTAACAGCCTATTAAATAAGAGATTAATAATATATTTTAAGGTTAAAAATACTACTAAAATACAAGCAAGTAGTCGGAGAACTTAACTAAGTATATAAAAATAAAGGTTTTAATAAGAGCTATTAGTTAATAAAAGGATAATACCTTATATTTAATAGTAGTTAATAATAGCTCTAATATATATATAAGCTCTAAAAAGGTATAATAAGTGCTATATTATCAGCTATATTATATCCTTAAAGCTCTACTCTTTACGGGGCTTAAAACTACTTATTAGGTTAAAACTAGCTTAAAAATTAGCCTTAATACTTACAGAAGTGCTAGCTTTAGCCTTAACTTTAATTAATAACTAGGAATTAAATCCTATTATTTTAGTAATAGTCTTTTACTCTTGTACTAATACTACCTTATAACCTCTTATAATTAAATTTATAGCTTTACCTAGTCTACTTTTATAAAGTTATAATTACTAAGAAGTTATTATTATTTATTAAAAATATATTACTATAAGAAAAGCTTAGTATTAAAATTAGCCTTATAAATATATTAAAATTAACTAAGAATACTATAAAGCTATAAGTCTCTTATTTTAATATAATAAGAAGAGCTATAAATAGTACTTAAGTTATAAGTAAATAATAAGATATTATATTACTTTAAATAAAACTAGAGAATAAATAAAAAAGGAGAAAATAGCTTATATAAACTAGAGTAAAGTAAAGTAAAACTATATTAAGTTATAAATTAATATAAAAATAAGATATAATTCTTTAGGGAAAAGGATAATTAATTAAGGTAAAATATTAAAAAGAAACTTAAATAAGGTTAAAAAGTAAAATACTTTACTTTTATATAAAATATAAGAGTAATAATATATAATAATAATACTATAATATAACTATATTAAAGTAATAGTATTATAATAGCTATTTATAGTTAGTTTAAGATAATTATATTTAGTATTAGCTATTAGCTTAAAATTCTCTATAATAAATAATATATATATAATAGTTACTTTTTGCTATATTATTACTTATTAAGGCTTAATAAAATATTCTAGCCTGATTACCTTATATAAGTTTATAAGATTAGCAGGCTAATAAGAGGCGCTATTTATATAATATCCCTAAGGTATTAGCGTCTATATTAATTTAAGGTGGCACTCCTATTAATTGCCTTTGTGTGGAAAACATTGTGGATCTTTATCGATGGTGGGAGATCGAGACGACAAGTAGCTGGACCAATAACTTCTATGATCTCGAATAGGCCGATATACTTATCGGATAGTTTCTTGCTCGGGCGGTCCATGCTTAAATTCCTTGTGTCGAGCTATACTTTATCCCCTTGTTTAAACTGTGGTGCCGAAGATCGGAACTTGTTTGCTTGTTCTGCGTGTTGGCTTTGGGCCATGTCCATTTCGTTGCGTAGATTTTCTGTCAACTTCGTCATCCATTCAGCGAACCGGTCAGCGGCTGCGACATCTAGTTGTTGTTTCTGAGGCAGTTTGCGCACGCCTTCTGGAGGTTCATTACCCAGTCGAGGGTGCTGTCCATATACAGCATAGAACGGTGACACTCCGGTGGTCTCTGATCGATGGTTGTTTATCGCGAACTCGGCAAGCGGAAGCCAGTTGACCCAGTCGTCCTGGACGTAGTTGACATAAGCTCGCAAGTATTGCTTAAGGCCCTGGTTGGAGTTTTCTGATTGTCCGTCTGTTTCTGGGTGATACGCGGTGGAAAGTTTCAACGATATTCTCAGTCTCTGACACAGTCTCTGCCATAACCTCGATGTAAACTGGGTGCCGCGATCGGACACAATTGTCTTTGGTAGGCCATGATGCTTCCAAACATGATGAAGAAAGAGTCGTGCAGCATATCTGGCTTCTATGGACCCACAACCGATAAAGTGTCGTTGCTTCGAGAGCCTGTCTGTTACGACCATTATGTTCCGACATACCTGGCCTGTCGTTTCATTTTTACTGCGTGGCAGGTCCACAATGAAATCTACCGCAATATCTTCCCACTTTGTGAATGGGGTTCAGCTCGAGCACAAACTTACCCTCCAAAAGTGAGCTGCCTGTATAAATCACAAGCACGTTCCCAGTTTGAGGAGATTGGAGAAACTGGAGCGACAATGACCATATGCCCCTTGTCGACTAGAATTTTCGAGATGTCAAGTACACCGCCAAAATAGCTGATGGCGCCGAATAGAGGAACATCCCAACCAAAGAATCCAGGGACTGAACTACATTATTATCCATATTCAAGGATACCGTTGCATATCACCTACCAAACACAATTGGAACTTTCTTATTCGGGGTTCCTGCATTTTTCTCCACTTCTTGGGCAAGTTTCTGCAAATTAACAAGCCCATCCGGGTCATTCAGAGATTGGGCCATGATCATCCGCCGAATCGTCTCATCGACTGCAGGACAGCGAGACGGGCGGCGAGTTGAAGAAGCTGGTTTGTTCAGAGCACCTTTATACAGTAAAAGCAATAACTACGTGACATGGACCAATACCAATAATATAAGCTTGCAATGGCAACAAGATTTTGACGTTCGGAACGTAAATGTTTGGTTTGAGGCCGTGTGTATATCGAAATGCCAAGGCTTAACTTTTTGGGTTTGCCGGCCATTGCTAACACTCGACATGTTAGCCAACAGCCTGAGCTTGCTGCTTCGTGTGCTTATTTATAGTGCTGGAACACGTCAAGGGCTGCATCTGAGGCATACAGATTTTCAACCTTCGTCTCGATCCTCAAGCACAACCTCTTGGAAAAGATGCGACATGCCGTTTTGGGCAAACCTGTGCGGCCGATCGCTGCACCGGCTTGTACGGGCCATATTGGGTGATAGTTTGTGGCGTCTGTCCAATTGCCAATGAATTCCTAGAGGCGGAATGTGGCTTCCATTAAGTCGCATTGCATAGGGAATGAACGAAACTTGAATGGGTTTAAGGTTTCCACCTGTGGTAAACGCCAGTCAACCTTGGGAGTCAGAGCTGGCCACCGTTATGCTGGAAGTTACGAGAAGTCACTGAACAGGTTACATTCAGCCACTCTCAGCTCTCTGGTTTATGGCTGAGACTTCTTGCCGTCTAGTTGTACACAGTGTGTGACGACTTATGATATATTACAAAGGCTGGCATTTGCTTCACTGGCTGAGCCTATAATGTGCCCTAAAATAGGCAAGATATATTATTATATAGCTCTTTAATACTACAAGCTCCAGGTAAGTATTTAGGCCGTAAAAAGAAAAATATAAAGAGGAGAAGAAGAAGGTAAGTAAGACATAAATTAAGCACTTATATAACCGCCTTAAATTAGGAATAATACTACTCTTATTTAAGTAAAAATAGACTTATTCTTGCCAAGTTTGTCCACAGAGATATAAACACTGCGACTTAACACCGAGGCCATCAAGCACTGTTTCACTTGGGCAAAGTATTTTGTAGCGTGTGGTAAAGCAGCTACTAGATTAAAATCGGTGTGTAGTAGAGTATTAAGCTTTCCAAGTAATTTACCCTCCTTTACCAGATTCAGCTTCTGGCATTATGCATACCAGTGGCATAAATTCCATAAAAACGGCGCAGCCCTCATCCATCAACCCTCTTCAACGCATCAATGAAATGTGAAGCAAGGAATGTCGGCAGTTGTATATTATTACAACTAAGTCTCGCAGCTAGACAGTGGCGCTATGCATCCCCAAGTCCACAACACCATGGGGCAAAACGGCCATCATTCTGGTCTTAGCCGAAATTTTCACTGGTACTCTCGTCAATTCCTCAGCAGAATACGATGAGGGACCCGAGCTCCAGATCCACTAGACTGAAGTGGAACAGTGTTGGATCACAAGACATACTCTAGAGGCACCACTGCGGGAACGGCCCAGTACAAATGTTCAGAATGGTAAGATTTGTCTGATTGCCGCGGGGGCTGGACTGGGCCGTTCCCGCAACGCCAGCCAGACAGGACGAGTTGAATGAGTCGGCGGAGATTCCATGTCTGCCTCCTCCTATTTGATGTCTCCACAGCAACCCCGCGAGTGATAGGATGCCGCCGCTAGAGGGCTCGGCCGCCATTTCGAGATGGTGTTGGAACCACTCCTCCATATTCAGCCCCAGTGGAGTGGCCTCTCGGCTTTCGACGTCAGCTTCGCCGCATTTGCTCATCACCTGTTGTTTGCCTCGTTATTCCGCTTGTCAAACCCTTCCAGCCACGGATCAATACTCCAAATAACTGCCTGTATCCACCGTTTACTCTTATATAGTCCTTCGTGCCGTCGCTACAGTAGTAACACATTAGACGAAATTTCTTCACGTCAGCAAGGATGGCTCACGCTACTTCCCCCGTTGAATGTGTCAACTTACCTTCTCAGGCTACAATTGCTCTAAACCATAGTAGATATACCATTACTCGACCAGTTATTACCATCGAAAGGAATGGCAACGACTGCTTCATTTCAGCCATCTTCCAATTAGAGCTAGGCAGCACTGGAACTGTCGGAAGGTATGTCCCTCCCAGGGTGTAGCCAGAGTTTGAACTTACGGTTAACGCTATCTGTATTAAGGCATGATTACTTGTTCCGAAGTGTTGAACTCATTTATAACCATGTACGCGGAGAAAATCCTAGGGCGAATCCTGTGACTAGTGCGCAGTCTTGGACAGTTACAGACAGCAGGATGAGGACATTCAGCCTGGGCGTCACGGCAGGAGGTCCTCCGCCTGTGGCCAACGTTTCAGCTAATCTGACTTGGAATAAAACTATTACTCTGGAGCAGAAATGCGACGCATGGGGCGTTGGCGCTGGCCCAAGTTCGTGATGCAGGCCAACCTACAGAAGGGAAGAACGATTGACTAACGTCACATAGGAGGAAATAACACGTCTTATGGCTGGCTTTGGACATCATCTGTACGAGACGACGGGACTGGTCTGCCAAACCCTATTCCCCCAGAATTGCATAATAACGTCTCCTGGTGTGTGGAAGTTCGACGACAAGTGAATGCGAATGACAACAATGCTATCCGTGATGTTTTGAATCGTCCATTTCGATTCGACATTAGTGTAAGATTCGGTATGCGATCCAAGGCCGTAAAAGTCTAACCAGATTCTTTAGATTCAAATGTATCGAAAGGGAAGAAAGGCTGCGGGAAAGGTTCGGAAATGGATTAAAGACAACTATTACCACCAGTGCCCTACGGAAGTCGGACAGTTCGCAATCGGCGGCTTCAGAGGCCACAACCTTTCAACCGATGTCGGGATACCAGCGGGAGAGACCATCTCCGTTACTACAGCTTTAACGAAGATTCGAACGGTGAGATCATATTTGGTATTTACAATCTACTGAGCCACTAAAACCATCATCAGACCCCACATCCGGGAGACAACCATGTAACAATACCCGAAGTCTTCCCTGATGACCCAACACCGCACCCCGGCCACTTTCTGGCTGTTGATCCTGCACAACCGGCTCATCTCCCAATGCTCTCGGTCACCGATTTAAGCAAGGATCAGAATTTCCAACCGCAAGAATTGTGATATCGTCGGATTATCGTCTCATCTTTAGTAACATTGACGCCTGTAACGCTTGTTCTACTCAATTCCGGGGTAAACTTTTCAGTTGTTCTCAGTGCCAACAGGTACATATTATTGCACTCGATAATTAAATTTGATGACACTACTCGTTAGTTGCCGAGGGTTGCGGCCCTCACCAAGTTTAGGTGTGACACAGGACTTACGGGAGGCACAGGCTCCTTCACAAGGAATGCGGGGAGGAGCAATCTCGTGCTCCCTTTCCTTTGTTTCCTCTTCTTTGGCGGCGACAGGCGGAAGGTGGTCTCAACACCTTCTGTCCGCGCACGCCTCTTCTGGCTGCTACTGCAGCCCGCACTACAGACCGAGCCGGTCTAGTAGATACCATCACCTGCACAACCCGCTGACGGGTAACAGAGTAGACCGTGAGCGCCTTTGAGCTGATGCCATGTTAGATAGTGTTTTGTTTACTTAGTTGCACGCAGCAAATTTAGTACTAGCCTAGCACGTCCTGTGCCCCGCATAGGGGACCTGAGTGGCCTGAGGCCACTGGACGGAAAATACACATACATACACGATCACAGATCGAGCTAGTGTATGAGGAGAGATATCCCTAAAGACGTCGGAAAGTTTTTAAAAAAAGTTAATATTATATTACTAGGTAAATATACCTAATAATTATATAATAACTTATTAAGGGAAGAGGCTAGTATACTAGCGTAACTCAGAACGGGTATTACAAGGTTGAATAGATATTTGTCAGACAATTAAGGGTCACAAAAAATCAAGTATAATAGCGCTAAAAGTACTAATTATATTAAATAAGAATTATTTAAGGAGTATTATAATTATATAAAAGAGATTATAATAGTTACTTTATATAAATAATTTAATTAAAGAACTTCTTTTTATTTTTAGAGAAAAGTTTACTACTAAATAAGCTTAATATATAATATACCCCTTAATAGTTAAGTAATTAAGTTAATATTATTTAAGTTATTATAATTACTTATAAATTCTTATTATCTTATTTTATAGTTTCTTCTCTTATATTTACTTTTCTCTTAATATTTATTAAATTTAATATTAATTAAAAGTACTTAAATTTTAATTTTAATAAAGCTTTTATTAACTTATTTACTAGTATTTTATTTATTAGTAAGTATTCTACTAAAAACTTACTCTTTTTAAATTCTTATTTTAATTATATATTCTAGACGTTAATATATCTTAACTTTATTATAATTTATTAGTTATTTTCTATTATAAGTTAAATTAACTAAAAATTATTATAGTATATTCTAAGAGGTTTAAGATTAAAGGAAATATTTCTAAGTAATTTATTTAAAGTATAACTTTTCTTAATTATTCTTTCTAGACTTAAAATTTCTGCCTTAATTATTAAAGT